ATACAAGCTTCAAATTCTAACATTCCTTTCCCAAGACCAATTTTCTCAATAACTGATTAACACACACACAAACACACACACTTTTTAGTCAATGTACACTACTTATTTTTGTGTCTAGCGTGAGATAAATAAATCTTAATGAAATCTTTTCAAGTAACATTGGACCAAGGGATACTGATCTTTTACATTAAATTAATAAAACTGAAACCAAGTATTGAAATATTTCAAATTCAACACAATGCAAGAAAAAGAAAGTCCATTCAACCCAGGTTTTGCTGCAAGAGCAACAACCCTTTCTTTCATTTTTTCTGTCTTTCAGGCATCTGCTGTAAATATTTCTATCCACCTGCCAGCGCCATGCCAGTTGTTTGGGGATATAAATACGTTTTTAAAAGCATGACACCAGGGACACAACCAATGCAACCAAGCACACGATATGTTACACATCTCTGCATAAAGATTCATGAATCCCAAACCAATCATGTCAGCATGAGATATACAACACACCCATAAATAACTTTCAAATATATATAATTGGAAGCTATATCTTATAGCAGCATTAGACAAATAATGTTTACATAAGTAGGAACTAGGATCTTAAAAGCATAACATAAGTTTGCTAATTATACATAATACTTTTACAGCTGAATCTAAATACTTGCACCCCAAACATAGTACCATTGTGAGAGCATATGCCAGATAGTCCATAATCTCCCCCATGCCGACAGTTTTAACCTCCTCTTTATGCCAGATAGCCAGGGCCTGCTGCATCCAGTTCACCGTGTGGTACCAGTTCCCCTCAGTGTAGGCATACTTGCCCAGTACAAAACATTCCTCCGCTAAAAACACACACACACACCATAGAGAAATAATGGGTTGGATATCTCCGACCTGTTTTATTTTACAGCAATTAGTTGGTGCTTGCATGCTATCTTCCTTAAACTCTATGACAATTTCATAACTTTGTTCAAGCAGTATTGTTTTTGGAATATATGTACCAGGAGCATGTTGCACCTTCGCTGAAGTCAGGTTATCTTGGTTTGATTAATGTATGGTACTGTTAGTCGGTGCTCGCATGCTAAATTCTCATCCCTGCATTCTTATAATGCTATTAATGGCAAAGGGCAATTTTTCTTCAGGACAAAGGTCTCAATGTAAGAGTTCATTTGTGTACAGAGCAACATTGTGTCAGACACCAACAAAACAATCTGGAATTTTCTATATCCAAGCCAATGTATAAGCAGGCAGCAGACCTGTGCATCCATATCACTGGTTGCTCCACCCACTTTGTTTTTTTTTTATTCAAATTCTTGATTAAATACCAATAATTCCTGGTACATGGGACACGGTCTGTATGGCCTTACTAGGGTTACATGCACATTGCTATAAGACACTTTTTATCATATAACTGTAGTTTTCTCTTCAAGGGTGTTTCATGCAAAGGCATTCCACATCTCACATTCTTGAACACACAAACACACACAGTCATATACATGTGATGACATGCAACATGGTTTTGCTGTTAAGTGCTTACCCTATATAGTGAATAGGCAAGGTAATCTATTGTCAAAGCTCGGTCAGCTGTTTTGTTAACTTCTGTATCAAGTGTGTTTAATGCCTCCTCCATCCATAAAATACAGTGATAATAATCTCCAGCATTGTAGGCAGTTCTGCCCAATTCAAAGCAATCCTCAGCTGAAACAAAACACACAAACAAGATAGGCACCAAGCAGTTAGTACTAAACAACTAATAAATACATCAACCAGGCCTGTAGACAAGCAATTTTAAGGGGGAGGGGAAGGTGGTTCTTTATCCGAAAAGGTAAACCTTTTTGTGTGTTCACAGAAGCTAAATCAAAATTTGATTCCGAGTGGACCCTTTTCCAACCAAAAAGGCAATCTGTTCCAACCCCACCCCCCCCTTTGCCTGAGGGCCTGTCAACTAAGCTACAATATCTGTGTGCATACTAAATGGCAAGCTCCAGGGATCAAGCATTGGTTTGTTAATATTCAACCCACAATCGTATTCTGAAATCAAAGCTACTTTTTTAATCTGAAATCAATGTCTAATGAAGTAAAGGACTTGGTAGGCCATAAAGCAATACTGAAGTACTAGTAAATATGTAACTTGAACATTTACAGTATGTTTAGATAACTGGAATTATTAATCAAACATTTACAAATTTTATAAACAAAATGATAATTAATACCACTGAATCTGCCCTGGAAACGAAGTGAATTTTTACCCTACAAATCAAATCACCAAGTTCACAAATTATTTGATCAAATATTATCTAGAATTTGAAAACAGCTTCCTAGCAGAAAGAACTTATGGGTAAGACTTACCTGTCATTTCTGGAGAGTTCTTGACTCCCTGCAGTTCCCCCTTGGCAATCTGAGCAGTTGGGAGGTTGTAAGTGTCCTGTAACCTCAGCAGGGCAGTTGCAGCCCCCTCGAAGTCTTCTTGCACTGGGAACTCAGACCCTCTATTGTGAAGCCGAGCAATTAAATCTGAAAATCATATATAAAATGCAAATAGTAAAAGATTTCACATAATGGAGTGTACACCTCTATTGTCAGGACTTCTGGTCACCCTTGGTTTGACATTCACACTTTGATTCTGAGTTTTTAGCCTTAAACACTTTTGCTCTAAAACTAATGAATAAGTATAGGAGGTCGATTTCTTTTTCTTCAGAGTGTGAACATATGTTTAAATGTGTGCACCTAGATTTTTCTACATTAAGTGATCACAGGCCATGCCACATGTAAGAAGACTGAATTATCATAACGGTGAGCAACAAAAGGTTACATAATCAGTCTTACCTGTGGAATTAGCTTTAACAAGTCCATCTACAATTCTTTCCCAGTCTATTGTGAACCTTTTCACTAACAAGTATGCATTCACTGGGTTGCCCAAATGCTTTTCTATATCACTCAAAGCTTCTTGACTATGCCGCTCATAGTCTTCTGCAACTCTGTAATGATATATATAGGTATTATCACTATTCCTTGGTAGTCATAAGCAAAAAAACAAAACAAAAAAAAGATGTGCAATACCCATGCAGATGCAATAAAAATACAAAAATGAGATTGCTTGATATGTGAGTTCAACATAAACATCTTAAAACCTACATATATAAATAAATAATAAAAATGGTACTGTTTTGTGTGAAAAGCATGACTGTTTAGATGACTACCATACTGATAGTGATATCATTTTCTCAGCACATTAAAAACAGCACATTAAAAACAAAGTTTTCATCAACAATTGTTTGTGAATTGTGTCAGTGTTACTTAGAACAACCCTGATAACAAGACTACTAAATCATTTTAATTCAACTCCAAAGAATAGTCATAATTCAAGCCCCTATACCTTGAAGGTAGAACAGATTTTTTTTCTTCCTAAAACACAGAAAAGGCAAACATGATGTCTCTATATAACCAAATAAATGACATTGGCTAAAAATTCACGGTCCTTGTGACAAGTGACAAATTATCATATCCAGGCCCTTCATCATGTTCAGTATCATCAGAAATCCCTATCTGCATTTGCCTACAGGCATAGGCTAAATAAAAAAAAAAACATCCATTGCCTAAAGTGAAAACCCATCAAACAAAATTGCACATTTCCCATTTTACAAAATGTACATAATTTTCATTGCCATATTATTTCTATGTATAATGCCAACTTTTACAGTTTGTAAATGCTTTACCAATGGCACTGAAATGTGGATAGTAATTCCAGATGATTACTCAGTCATTATCTTAATTCAAATAGCATGTGTGTATGAAATATGTGAAGAATAGACAGACATTACATAAAGTTAACCTGCAAATTATACACTTTCCCTTATCATAAGCCAGCAAACTTGCAGTATGTTTTTTTATGAAATTAAGAAATTCTTTTCAGATAAACAGAATATATGTAACAGGAAATAACAAAACCAGCTATGTGACCAAAAATAAAAATAACAAACAGCTATTTTCATTTCAATTCTATTTCCTTTGATAACCACAGAGATCCCACACATTTTACAAAAATGCATATAGATTTATTTCTTCAGTAAGTCTAAACCTATTTAAATTTTATTAACATCCAAACTACTTCAATTAATGTACCCTAACTACAATACACATTATAATATATAAGCGTGTGATCCAAAAATTACCCACCTAAGCATGTACATTATGTAATTAAGGAAATAGAATTTCCTTTTGTAATCACCCGAATTAAACTCTGATATCTCCAAAGGCAGTCTAGACAAACTGCAGAGAGTACTTATTGAGCCGAGATATTATCTCCTACAAGAGAGACTGGGGGTAATGACAGTGTAGTCTCTGTGATAACATCCACGGTTTTATGATTAAGCGATGATAATGGTCCCCTAAAGTTTGCCAAACCGTGACTTCAGTAAAGGTGAATCTTTTACTTATACTTATTATCAAAGAACAGTTCAATGACTTGTTCTTCTCAAAGAGGAAAAATAGGTAGCAGACAAAATTCACTGAAGGTCATCGCCTTTTGTGTCATTAGTCTTTTTTATTTCCTTTACAGATATGGTATAATTCATATCATAAAAAATATATGCTAATTGCATTTAAAAAAGAATTCACACCAGTAATTATTTTCTCATAATCCTCTTATTTCTGCATAATAATAATATCAATAGAATAGACAATAAATGAAACATTTTGTTTAATATGCATTATTCCAGTCAAAGAGTACTGGTGAAATTTAATTTAAAAACCACATAGCATGAATTCTTCCTACTCAAGCTCATTTCATGTTGACTGCCTGACCTTAAATTCCCCATACATTTCTTAAATTGTTCTTATTTTCCCCCCTGCTACTACTTTAGTGATTATAAAATGTCTATGTGAAACTCAAATTAGGTCTACACGTACAGTAAATGAAAAAAAAAACAAAAACAAAACCATTGTAGTTACACAACTAAGTTTTAGCGTAATTGTTGTAAGCAAGCAATAAAATGACCACCTTTTTTCTTTTTTAACCATCAATTTCACCTCAGTTTATATCCCTCCAGCCACGTTGACTGGGAACAATTTCCTGTGAAATCTGATACTCTTTAGCTGAGCTAAGGCACGTACCGAGTCCATACTTACTTTTTTAATCGTTTTAACCTCTCCTCCTCCATTTCTATATGGCTTTTTATTTCTAGGGCTATATCTTTTTCTGTAAGGAGCACCTTTTGTAGGTCACTGAGGGAAGTAAACACCTCAGATCCTGCAAAGTCTACTAGAGTTACAACGGCTAGAATTTGTAGAAAGTTCGCCGTAGGTAGCAGCTCCATCTTTCTCCGCTCTGAAAATGAACTGTGGATTTCAACAAGAGGCGCTGGGATTATAACAAGACAATAAATTACAGTCACGAGGCGCTATATTGTATAATACGTCCTGTGGAGACAGTGAGAAGGGTGTGTCCCTACACCCACCCAAAGGCCAAATACGCAATGACCCACACCGGGCATTGTGCGCTGATTGCTTTGCCATTGACTAAGAATCTTGAAGATCTAAACAAACATTTAAACACATCGGCTTCTTGAGTTTAGACTTTTTAAAAATGAAATGTGCTAACTTTAAGGGCTTTATACAGTTACTTAATATCTTAGGTAGAAACCTGTTTATACAAATCGATACTAAATGATGCTTTTGATCAAATACAACTACTTACCCTTCTAGAACCACAGTGAAACACGTCAACTGGCTGACCCAGTTTTTATTGAAACCTCAATTAGTCACATGACCTAGAATCACATGACAAACCAAAATGGTGGACGGTAGAGTTTCGTGGAAAAGTAGTTTTGCCTTCTTGGTTTGTTTTGTCGTCGGCTGTCATGGAGTTGCTCATTATTATATAGGAACAGGGATCGCTGATGTTACAGGACCCGCGGCAGAAGTTGATATGGTATAATTGGACATCTCGAGTAATGTTTTTGTCTCGAATGTTGCCTAACAACCGAGATTGTGGCCGACAAATGACGATGCTTTTTGGTCCCCGAAAAGCCACTTATGATAACACGAAAATGATAACACTTTTTTAATGAATTTTATATGTGGTTGGCTATTAGTTTATTGATAAGTAAATGGTGTCCTTTTGTAAAATGCATGAAATCAAGCGAAAACGATATATGAATTATATCCAAATGTAAGCTTATGGTTATAATTTGTCTTTGGATTTCAGGTGTTTTAATTAAAAATAGTAAAAAAACAACCATAGATATTTTACATAACAATTTTATGGTTGATTTTAGATGGGCTATGCCAATCCTGCCCAGACAAGTCATGGAATCCATCTGCGCCAGTACAGCAGGGCATTTATTATTGCTGACACTGCCAAAAAGTCTAGGGTAGTCTTCGTCAATGTTGATGCATGTATGATATCCGAAATTTTGAAAATACAGGTACAGTTTAAAATTAGATAGGAAATTTAAGGTTAACTCATTTTGCATTGAAATTGTTTCTAGTAGTTATTTTGTGCATGTTTTTAATATAATAGATTTTCTTATATATATATGTAAAAAACTTTAATGTTACTCTTTCATTGACCCAAATTATGTTTAAGAGTCAATTTGACTTCTATATTTAAATACTTCTTATATTTATGTTGGAATAGATACAATACAGTATTTCTGTTTGTTTCATTTGTAAGCATAACTTCATAATTTTCATGTTTTGTGGATACAAGAAGATCTATGTGAGTAAAAAACAAACACAATTTTTAAAAGTTGTTGAATTCCACATATTGTAGAATTTCATTAGATTAGACTTTGACTTGTTATGAATTACCCTATTCAGTTACATATTAACTTGGATAGCATCACATTGTTTGTATTTAGGTAGTCCAAAAGCTGCAGACATTATATCATGGTCTTTACAATGATTCTAATGTCTGCCTGAGTGGAATCCATACTCACTCTGGACCTGGTGGATTCCATCAGTATGTGTTGTTTGACGTAACATCTCTTGGCTTTGTGAAGGAAAGTTTGGATTCTCTAGTGAATGGAATTGTGAAGGTAAGTCTTTTATTCTTTGGGAATGGCTCTTTTTGGGTATTAAAATTATAATCATGGAATCAAGAGGAAGATTCCAGTCTTCATGTTGACAAAGCACAGTTATGCATATGGCTGCAATATACTGTCATAAACAAGTTGGATTGGTGCTGTCACCAGAATAAACCTTGCACCCACATATATATCCAGCACTGTAGACTGCTACATGTACTTGTGCTCAACAAACTTTTTTTAGATTTAACATACATTAAATCAACAAAAACTATTCTTCTGGCTTTCTTTTACATATAATCTAAATCCCCATTGCAAAGAAAATTGTTTCTTCTCATTTGGTTCTGAAAGCTGTCATGGTTTCAGGCCAGGAAGAGGCATGTCAGTCAGTAAGAGTCCCCACATAATTGGAGTGATCTACATAGACCGATAGTGTCTTTGAAAAAGGGGGTCTTATTGGTGCACCTCACTAAGTCAATCCACCAATATTATAAAATCGTATTTTCTGATAAGCATGCATTTTTGGCATTTTAATTTCACATGGTACACATGTCACAATGCTGTTAACCTTCTTCTCTTTTGAAGACTGTTGGTGTACAAAATTGGATATTCTAATTATAGAGCATCCAAAATGCCCACAACAACATGGTTGCAGGGAATATTTACATCAATACAGGAGAACTGTTGGATAGCAACATCAACCGCAGCCCTTCTGCATACCTGAATAACCCAGCAGAGGAAAAGGCCAGGTGAGAATTAATCGTGACTTAGTAAAAAAATTCAGGTGTTATTCTTCATATTTTCTTACAAAATATGGATTTCCTTCCAGGAAATAGTAAATTTTTTGTCTGCATTGTGCTTATTTCTTAAATGGATTGGATATTATATTTGACATTATCTTGTGATTGATTGTGCTCTTTATCTCGTAATCATCTCATGTTACTTTATTTTATAGATACAAGTACAATGTGGACAAGAACATGACTGTTTTGAAATTTGTTGATGAAAACAGCAAACCTCTGGGCATGATCAGGTATATTCTTTATCTA